CACCGTTTTAAAGTTCTGTCCACGGATCACAACAAGGTAAGTGTTCTTTCAGCAAAACAAAACAAATCACAAAGGGACGTGTGTGAATTGTTTTCGTTTTGCTGAAAGAAGGCACACCTTTTTTTGTGATCCGTGGACAGAACTTTAAAACAGTGGTTGTGTTTAAAATTCCGTAACTTGAAAAGTACATGAGTGATTTGAATGATTCCTGTACTAAAAGAAAGCCTATGAATTGGGCTTTCATATCCTATATTGTGAAAGGCTACATGCAGAACTTCACTAAAACAATGGTCCCAACATTTGGGTTTTGCTTTTTTTGAAAGAAAAATATCTACATTGGTCTGCAGATGCACTGTTATACAGGTCAGAGTGAAGAGGGAGGAATATTATCGCAAGGTTAAAATCTGGATTTTTCCATTTCACGAGGCGAAGCTGAGTGAACTGGAAAAGTCCAGATTTTACAGAGCAATAATATTCCTTCCATTTCACAATCTAAAGCCACTAGATCCTTGTCATTTGATATATTTGAACTTTTATTTCAATACAAAATTGGTGGAAACTGTATTTGTCTCTTCCAAACCACCCCTTCACAAAAATGTTTGAACCGAACTCTGTAGCGCTGGCTCTTTGGAACAATACGCGCTACACGCAATGTGAACGCCCATACTAGCATGCATTTGCACACAAATACCGCGTCATGGAACAAGAATGATCCTATCTGTTCAATAGTATTTCCCATTCCCTATGGGCGAGTGGGACTTTTTGAGCCCCGGCGTGAATGGGAGTAATAACAAATGTCACGTGATGTAAGTTCTACCAATCAAATGACAGGGATCTGTATGACGGTTATATAATAAAAACTATCATGGACGGACTCTTGGATACAAGTCATAAGGCCCCCAAAAATACTTCTGTTTCCGGTTACCCGACAAACCATAATTTTATGGCACAACCCTAGAGTTTATAATCAGCAAATTAAAAATGAAAGTTTAAAATTCATGTTGTCTTTTCTGTCTTCGTGAAAATGCTGGTCGACTACCTGTTTACGTCAGAAACGCACGGGCAATGCCACACAAAGTGAGACGGGATTTTTGTCTGGGTGACAAATCAAATTAGGTTTTGCCCTTCACCGACGTATAAACACTGTATACTCAGCGTGTTACCTCCCGAGTGAAAGTTGGAAAAATGAACCCATGACCTCCTGCTGTATACATGTAGTGCAGATGTCTTACCACTCAACCATTGAGCTAACCGGATTGGTTGGCTGGTTCAAATCGTATGTACATAGCAGCGGGTACCGCATTAACTATTCATGTTGTCTTACATGTATGAGCAACTAATCCTAGCAGGCTATGATCTGATGTGAACTGCCGCATTAATTGTGTCTCTCCCTCCCCTTTTTTTCTCTTTTCAAGTCTCTCTCCCTCTCTATATATTGCAATTTTTTTAATTTTTTTTTACAAGGGAGTCCATTGCCCCCTTGCCCCCCCCCCCCCCCTTTGGCTACGCCTATGGTTTGATGGTTGATGTAACATGCCATAGTCCGTCGGGGGTGGTTCTGAGATGGCCATTCTTAGTTGCCCTGGGTTGGATGGGGGTCAGGGGGCTACGGTCAAATGTCGAAAATTTTGAGTTTAATTTCGTGAACAAGTGCCGTTTTTGGATTTAAAGTGTTGAGATTGACCTCCTGAAACCAAAATGCTACGTAAGAATGGAAACAAGTTGGATAAAGTTGCAATAAAATGGTTTAAAAAATTACATTTTTATATATTTCATAAGCCTAGATACAAATGTACACGTATCCTGGGTAATAGTGGAGATGCTTAGACCAATTAGTTGTGCCCAAATTCTGGTAAATGCATGCAATTTGGCATGCAGAGCCGAAACAGTATAACAAAAAATCATTTTAAGAGGTGGACCCACCTTGAATCTTGCCGATTCGGGGGCAGAGCTTGATTTAAAAAAAAAAAGGGAGGGCGCGCAAGGAATAAAAATTCAGAAGAACTGTATTATAAAAGAGGTTGTGGAATGCTGAACATTTTTTTTTTTTTTTTTTAATTGTTATACCGTTTCGGCTCTACATGCCAAATTTCATGCTTTAACCACAATTTGGGAACAAATATTGGCCTTAGCAGCTTTTTTCTGAAAAGTGCAAACTTCTACAATGAGAAAAACAATGCAATACAGGTGGGGGTGTGCTCCAAATAACAATGAATGTGCTTGACTCAC